TTTTTTGCAGAACCGGGGATTGAACTCAGACCCTTGCGCTTGCCAGGGAAGCGCATATTCCACTGAGCCATCTCCCTGGCCCCCAAAACATATATTTTGACATATATACACACATACACATATATTATCCACATTATATATATGGATAAAACGTCCATATATATGGGCATTTTAGGGATTTTAATTTTGGCTAAGGAAGATAAAATGAGCGATATTAATTTACCAATGTACCTTTAATTCTTCAAGCTTCTCTCTTATTTCAATGAATCCCAGGTGCAGTTTCCCCCCGAAATGATCAGCCAGTCACCTGTCATTATCGTGAAGACCTAAATAGGCAGAGCAGACTTCACAGACTCGAAGTTTCTGCTGCTGGAAACTGGAAGCTGGCATAGAATTCCGATACACTTCCTAAGCAAAAATGAAAAAACCAACAATCATACAAACTAAAAATGTTTTCTAATGAATTATACAAAAGCTTAGTTTTGTCAAGAAAATTATATAGTTTTATTTTGTCTTCATTCTGCCTTTGACAGCTCCACTGGGGTGTGGTGGGTCCAAGGCCACGGCCTCAAATTCTCTTGCCAAGAAACTACCTGAACAATTCTACACAATAAAACATAGCTTTCTGAAAAGATTTTCTCAATGTTTAGCAGTCTTTGTCTAAGAAAGAAAACTATTGGGGCTGGTAGGATGGCTCAGTGGTCTGAAGCACCTACTTAGAACAAGCTTAGCAAAGCACAAGAGACCACAGTTCAATCCCCCAGCACCACATGCCAGTCAGCCCCACCCCCTGGTGGGCTGAGCTGGACACACACACACACACACACACACACACACACACACACAAATAAATAAAATTTTTAAAAAAAGAAAGAAAACTATCTATGTTGGCCCTCTCTCCTACTCCATCACTATTTCCTTTTTTGAGACAGTCTTGCTACATAGATTGGCCTTGAACTCACTACGTAGCCCAGGCTGTTCTCTTTTTTTGCATTTAGTACAGGGTCTACAGGGTCTAGCTGCACAGATCAGACTCGTAGTGACCCTCCTGTTTTTAGCCTCCCAAGCACTGGGTTACAGGCACCATGCCCAGTATCAGTCACCATCTCAGTGTGGCCAGCACCACAGGTTGGGTATCAAACCCCAGTCCCTGCATCTGCCTAACCAGGCAGCTTTAATCCACTGAGCTATCTGGCTGGCCCAGGCTGTCCTTGAATTAGTGGCAATCTTCCTAACTCTGCTTCCCAAGTGCTAGATTATGGATGTGTGCAGTCATGAGCAGCTCCTATAAGAGATTTTTAACAAAACCTGTGGAAAAGAACACTGACGAAAACCTGCCATCATCAAAAAATCAGATAAAAAATAAATTAATAAATAAATAAATGGAAATGGAAAGCAGTCAATGCTCTAATTAGCTTCATCTCCTTTTTTTCAATTGTTTGTACTTTTTCTTTTCTTAATTTCTTATACATTGCTCCTGTTTTTTTCTTCTTCCAATTTTATGTGTATATATCTGGTAATATGAATAGCTGGTTGTAAGACAATACCATGTATTACAACAAATACTGTGAAATTCATATTACTTTGTTAAGTAAAATTCTGTATGAGTTGTCAAAAATAAATAAATAAATAAATTTTTAATAAATAAATTTAAAAAATCAGATAACGAAATCAGACAAGGATATGAGGAAAAGGAATTAATTCATCAACATTTTCCGTAGGAATGTAAACTGGTACAACCTCTCTGGAAATCAGTGTAGCGATTCCTCAAAAAAATAAAATTAGATGGGGGCTGGAGAGATGGCTCAGTGGTCTAAAGCACCTACTTGGAACAAGCTTGGCAAAGCACAGGGACCACGGTTCGATTCCCCAGCACCACATGCCAGCCAGCCCCGCCCCCTGGTGGGCTGAGC